CTCTCTCTCTCTCTCTCTCTCTCTCTCTCTAACTCCACTACCCTCCTCGACGCTGGACTCCTCCAGCGCTGTGCCTCATTGCCGATGAGCAGCGTAGCTGCAGTCTCGAAATAGCGCAGCAGGGAGTCTCCAGAATAGCGCAAGCGAAGTTCCTGAACCAGCATAACGCTGGATTTCTCCTGGTACCTTCTGTCCACGAACTGGGCAACGGCCCAGCTTAAGTAGCGCTGGGCCACCTGGGTCCCTACCGGACGTCCAGGCCCTGTCCAGGATTCAGTTTCCTGGTACCTGGCTTTGAACCGGTCCTGTGCGGACGTACCCGGCCTCAACGTCGGTCTGGGTCCGAACAGGTAGAAATCTGTTCGAAAACAAAAGAAAAGGTTCTAACGTTTTTAGGAGCTCAGCCTCTGGGCCTGAATCTGGCCCTGGTCCTAAAACGTGTACCTGGCCACAAAACGGATAACAGTACAACCGTTAGAAAAACAGCAGCAAATAAATAAATAAACGAATATAAAAATAATCTAAAGCTGGCGTTTTTCTGATGCAGGCCCAAGTAAAAATGCCATAGGGCCTTCAGGTTGCGGTGACACGACCTGGGGGCCCTATTCCAACCTCGGGTCCCGTGAGGGGCCCGTGTGTAGGCTTTCAGCATGTAACACACACACACACACACACACACACACACACACACACACACACACACACACACACACACACACACAATCAGTTTTATGTATGTTTGTCTTCCTCCATTTGTCTTTCCTAGAGGTTTTTCAAGTAGTTTTTGTGTGCCCAACTGAGCACCCTTACGTAGTGCCAAACGGTCGGTCATTCCTCGTCCGGAGTGCCTACAGCACTCTTAGGGGGGCTGCTTGGTTCCGGATGTTTGTGTTGCCTATGGGTGATGACGGATGATCGTGGGATCGACTCCCTGGTTCAGTGGGTGGTGAGAACCAACAGTCTGCGGGGTTCACCCGTGATGTGAGTAGGTGATGTGCTTCTTTGCTCTGTGTTGGATATGTGGACTGCCTCGTCTGCGTTCCGCCGCGGCCTTGCTGCCCGTTACGCTTGCTTCGCAGGTCGTTCTTGCCAAGCTGCTGTCTTCGCTGTGTGGTGGGGCGATGTTGTTGGTGTTGCCTTGCGCTTCACTGCTCTGCTGCCTTGCTGCCCTTCTGCTGGCCGTGCCTTCCATGTCTTCTGCTTGCACACCTCGTAGTTTGGTTGCCTTGTGCTTCACCCCATGGTTGCTGTGCTACTCGACCGCTAGCCCTGTCGTCCCCTGCTGTGTGGTTGCCTTGTTGGTGTTGCCTTGTGCTTCACGACGTGGTTGCAGCACTGCTTGTCCTGCGCGCCGTGTCGTTCTTGCAGTCGTTTTTGGTGTTGTGCGGCCGTTTTGCCTCTACTGCATTGCCTGGTTGCTGCCCACTTCTATGTTCCGCTTGGGGATAGTCTGCCTTCAACATGGGTCAAAGGGGTTATGACCCAAACCATCAAATACGGAGGGTTCAGTCTCCTGATGAGTTGGTGCAACTCCCACGAAACAATCTATCATCAGCCTTTACTCTTTTAGTCTTTGGCTTTTTCTATATCTGTATTTTTTCGGGTGCTGCTTTTGCCTTGTCGTTGTTTGTCTTGCTGTCGTTTCCCTCGCTTCCTTATGCTGTTTGCCTGCCAATCTGCCTACCCCATGCCTTTCAACCACTGTGCTTTGTTACTTTGTGTTGTTTGCCTGCCTCCCCGCCTCCCCTATGCCCTCCAGCCTATGCGCTTTGCTGCCTCGTGCTGTTGCCTTGCTGCGTGCTGTTTATCTGCCCACCCGCCTCCCCCATGCCCTCCAGCCTATGTCTGTTGTTGCATGATGCCTATGTCTTGCCTTGTGCCTTTTGTCTGCCTCTTCCTTCGCTGCCTGCCCTCCTTGGTTGTTTCTACTCCAACGGTTCAACTGCCGGCGTTCAGTCCATTTAGAGTTATGCGAGAATTGTCTTCAAGTTTTGTAGTGCATGGGTCTCTCCTGGGTGGTCGCCAGACGGAGTACACTTGTTGTGTACTGGAGCTATGTCAAAGTGTGTTTAGCACTGTTTACATATACAGCATCACACACACACACACACACACACACACACACACACACACACACACACACACACACACACACACACACACACACTCGCACATGCACAAGCATACACACACACACACACACACACACAAACAGCCATTTACCTCGTTGACTTATCTACTACCAGCAGCTTGAAAGAGAAATAGTGATTGTCGGTGGATGTATGGAAACTGTCACAAATTGAGAAGTCCAAAGTCCAGAGAGAGCAAACATAGGGCAAAGGTCAGAACTCGACTTATTTTCATTGTTCGCTTTCCTGAGCACATTGTCATGAGAGATCTATCTTGAAATCAGGAATCTCAATCTATCTATCTGTCTATCTAAACTACTCTGTTGCGTAAAATTATAATGCATTCTGGCGGAATGCTGACAAGTCAACAACACATTTGTCAAGATTTCAACAAACTGTTGCTAACAACAGCACATTTACTGCCGTCTTCTGCAGCAGGAATCCGGACTCTGCTGTTATAAGTGAACTTTGAAACTCGTTATCCATCTCTAATAAACAATTCGTGTTTTTCTCAGCAGGAAAACTTCAATAGCCCATCCCATAAGCGGGTTCACAGAAAATAAAAAAAAAGAGAAAAAGGGTTCTTCAGTGAATCTTTACAAATCTGGGGGTTGTCATCAATGGCCAGTGGATAGGTCATTGGGAAGACTGAAATCAGCGAAATCACCAAGATGGTCTTTTCCTTCTTTGTTTTGTCTTTTTTTTCCTTCTTTTTTTCCTTTTTTTTTCCCTTGTTAAAAAGCTAGTGCAGAGCAGAAGGCCCTCGACCAAACTGGAATTGGGGGAGTGCCGCCACTGCAAAGGCCGGTGCCCGGTTGTAACTGTCTGCACCCACC